ATACCGTAAATCAAAAAAAAGGTTTACTGTTATTTAGTTTCGTTCAAAACCTACAAAATCTTCATTGCTTTCACTGTAATTTATTGTTTATTGTTTATGGAGCATTATAAATAATTATGTTTTTAAAATAAAAAACTACTATTGTTATAAATAACACATTCAATTGAACTAAACTATTCATGGCTATTTAAATATATTTACACATGGCTTGTGTATATCGTATATATACATATATATTATTCATACCTTAGGTGAAAAGGACGCAAGCAGATTTTGACATCAAATTTTAGGGTAAAAAAGTGCGTCTTATACACCGAAAAATACGGTAATACTGAAAACAGGCCTTTCTTGATATTACAATTTAATACTAAATGACAACGTATTTTTGTTTTACAACTTCAGTGTGAAAAGCTTTTCAAAATAAAGATGGGTCTGTAAAAAAAAAATCGTCTGCTTTCGTTTGTGACTCATTAATGGGATTTTCCTCTTTAACGTTAATTGCATAATTCATGACGCTATCTAATTTTTGTTTAATTTGTTTTTATTTATTTGTATCTTTTTACACTGACATACTGACCAGGTGTAGCTAGGTTGCATGCTCATAGAAATTAGTTGTAAGTGTTGGCTTTTGTATTCTGAAAGTTAAAAAAAAGGCTATATAAATGTAGCTCAAGTGTACTGAAAACAAAAGCTAACCACTTATAGCTTTATATCTGTTCAATCATAAAATGTTCTTACAATTGCACGTCTGTACGTTGTAGTAAGTTAAATTGTTAGTATCATACATTACACAGCAGTAAGAAGGTGTGGAAAGAATAGTTACTGCTTAGGGCCGGGCGTAGCCTAGTAGCTAGAATGCTTGAACTGTGAACCCTAGAGAGCACGGTTCGCGAATCGTTGCCGCAAAACAGTGCTGTACACCTTAAGGCCGAGGGGGCGCTAGTCGACAGTACTCACCATCTACCTTTATCAGGTTGAATAGTGGAATCTGATCGTCACTGTAAACAAACGAAGCTCATTCGTGTTTTTCTCTTTAATCAGTTAGTTTGGGTCTAAAAAGTGGACTCTTATTTCACAAAAGCACTTTTCCATTCACGTGAAACGTAGTTAGTATTGAACAAAAAACAGACACCATATTTGTTAATCAGTTAGTTTGGGTCTAAAAAGTGGACTGTTAGTTCACAAAAGCACTTTTCCATTCACGTGAAACGTAGTTAGTATTGAACAAAAACAGACACCATATTTGTACATTTAAATTTATAGTTTATTATTCACTGTAAGGTACTCATCTTATTCTTGTGGTTAATTAAAACAAATCTACTGATTAGCCTTCAGAAGTTGGATAATATAAAATACATGTAGATATAAGTGTTATGGTAATTACAAGCGATTTTTTGACGGGGTTCAAGTTCGATTTTGTAACTTTGGTCGAATTTTTAGACTATGAGACGATCGATAGTTTGATATTACATGTACATTCCAGGTATCTGTTAATGAAGCAGCTGCTCAGATATGTAAGCAAGTTCCTGCCCTTCTCACCCGAAGAGACGAGCTTTTCCCCTTAGCCCGACAGGTGGTGCGAGACAGTGGATATCAGTATTCAAAAGGCCATTCCAGGTATTGAGCTCTCCGGTTCTCTTGGTAAAAACACATACAGAAATTTTTCACGAAAGTTTTTTGTGGGTTGTGTAGAGCACGATAGATATTTTCGTATATTTCAAGAGTTTTGTTTTTACCTAGAGGAGCATTAAATATCTAAGGAAAGTCAGTTTCAAATATCATGTTACACTTTCGATAAATATTGATGAGGTTTCAATTAAATTGAAATAAACTTAATTGTTTTTGTTTAAATATTTCTAGCTATTTCCTCTGGTAACAATAGGACATTTTTTATGCTTTCCAGTTTCAGTGCCTTATCCTTAGTTATCGTTTGAGGAAAAAAAATTTCGTGTTCTGCACGAGAAGTGTACTATTCAGGGGCACAGCAAGACGCGTCTAAGAAGAGACGTTTAGTAAACGTAACACCTACGCGGTGTTTAATGGCGCTTACTTAAATTAACAACATTTATGGATCTCTCGTGTATTCGTTGAACACACAACTTTCACGCGATGTAAGTTTTGTTGGGTTTTTTTTTTTGTATGTTTGAAATGTGAAGCCATCCTAGCGTTACCAAGTGAATTATACCAACTCACGAGACTCTCAGGAATTTTATAAACACATACAAAAACGGTTCTTGTGGATGAATGGTTTAAAAAGACCGTGTTTTCTGGTGGATAAACTACTTGCTTATATACTGGTAATCTCTGTTTAAAATGTTTATAGCACCAGATAATGTATCTGGTAAAATAATCCTTTCGACAGTATCATTGTGCGCTTATAGCGCTTTTAAAAATATTATTATTTTTAGGATGACACGATTTTGTGTTGTACTGAGGTGGTGGGAAGGATATGGGACAAAAATGTCTTTATGTGGGGAGTGGGGCTAAAGTAGGGGGCAACTCCTCCTCCTTGTCTCCACTCTTGTAATCCCGCCTGTGACTGATACTATATGCAATACAAGTTAGACTGCTATTTTTTATATATATCACTCGAGTCTTATTAGCGTTTGGTTTCATTAAAACACTATATTTCAATTTCAGTATTTTGTAATCACTTATAAAAAAAAAAACGATAATTGTGATTTTCAAATTTTGAAACGATTTTTGGGTTACATTTTGAACAAATGTTTCTAAAATTAAATAGAAGTTGATCCGAAATCGCTACCATTGCTATTTTGCTAAGAAACGTGCTCCCGCTTCTTCCTCCAGTTGCTATATTTGCTGCAAGCTTCTTTCCCATCTGCTTTAAAGGAAGAAAAAGTTTAAGTTGTGGCCTCATGACGAAAACTTCTCCTTTTTTGCTAAAATGCGAGATAATTCATTCATTCTCTTTTATGTTTTCATTCAGTTTGAAAAAAAGCAGAAAGTGTAAAAACTAACACAGCATTTATTGCAAGGCGGTTAAACTCTTCCTCAGGCTCCTAACACTAAATGTTTTATAGACTATTGATAGTTTTGGCCCTCTTTATGGATTTTGTTGTTATTGTTAAGCACAAAGCTACACAATGGGCTATCTGTGCTCTGCCCACCACGGGTATCTAAATCCGGTTTCTAGCGTTGTAAATCCGCAGAAATGCCGCTGGGGGCTCTTTATGGAAAACAGTTGTATTGAAACGTTTTTCTATCACCCGAATAAAGTTCCACGTAAGTGACTATACAAGATGTCTAGCTTATAATATACAAACACTCAATATTCCACAAAAGAAAAAATGCCATCTTTCCGTTTACTATACCACACAAAACCCCACCTCTCCGCTAACGGTTCCACACACACACACAAATTCTGCTAACCGTTCCATAGAAAATTCCGTCCTTCTGCTAACTATATCTCCCTACTTACTGTACATAGGTTAAGTAGGCATTTTCGCTTTTTTTTTGTTTGAGCCGATAAATAAAATATTACAGAAATATCGTTGAGTGGAAATTTAACTCGTGGTTTCTAATTATGATGTGTCTTCTCAAAACACGACTCGCATGGTGGTGGTGGTAGTAATTTTGAAATCGTTTGTCTGCTCGTCTACACGGTCTTCGGCAGCTTGAACAAAATTATCAGTTTTGATGATACTTCTAGGTCTCAGGGCTATAGATCATATGACGAAGATTCCTGTAAGCGGCCCAGACTGGACCCGTGTCTCGGTACCTTCACTGATAAAGTTCAGCTCGAGGAAGAGAAGAAGAAGCGACAGGTGGGTAATTAAGTCTTGTTTCTCTCTTTCCCGGATTTAGCTCCCTGTGGGCTTAAGAAGAAGAAAACAGCATAGAAACTGACACATCCTAGATACGGTGAGTATGACCAGGCTCATTGGAACGGACAAACATTGGTGGGGTGGGGGAAGCAGTCGTAAATAAATAAAAACTGTCTGATAGTCAGTAATAATGCTTTCAATTGTTGCTGTGTTTTGCTACAAAATCGTAACTCATATAAATAATAAGAATGCTTCAGGTAATAACCAGTGTACATATTATACATATGTACAAAATTTATTAACGGCGTAATGTTTAGAATTGTTAAAGAAATGGCAATTTCCTTTCATTTTGGTTGCCAAAGTCAGCCAACTGCATAGAAAAAGATCGTGTAAAACTTGTTTGGGGTGCAATGATATTCTCTCCCCCCCCCCCAATTTAATTATGGGAGAGGAACGTGCCCCTCCCCGATTCCAACGTCTATCAATGTTTAACGAAGCCTAGTGATTAGTTGTTCATCAAAAACACTGTACTTGGCAAAAGTCAAAGGTATTAGAGAAAAATTAAATGAAACACCATGTTCGTAAAAGTAGGTAACAATAAAATGAAAGAAAATAAAACGGAACAAGAAAAAGAAACACTGTATGCTTAAAATACCAGATACCTGGTTCTTGTAATGAACGACGTTACGAGCTCCATACTGAATCCTTGGTGTATCTCGCTATCTAACCCAGAGCGTTTTCCTTTTAAAATAATAATAATCAGGCAGCAATCTTTCATAAAAGCTTCTAGCTCCAACTGTACTTGTGTCACAATAAAAGTAATAAAATTAATGTTCCATCCACGCGTTTCAGGAGAGAATTGAAGCAATAGGAGAGCAGCTGAAAGCCATAGGAGCCCAGCAGGAGGAGCTGAAAGCTAAGTTACAGCAGAGCTATTCTGGAGTCAACCATGTCCAGCCACAGCTGGAACAACTCTCTACACATCAGATGCAGCTGATTAATGAACAAAGTGAGCTGAACAAACAGTTGAAGAGACTGGAAAGGTGAGTGGCGTGTAGAAGTGGTGGTAACCAAATACACGCTAACAGAAAAAAAAATCCGAATAAACCTTAATGAGGATATACGCTATGTCTCTGTAATGACATTCATCTTCCTTAGCGAATCGGTCGTATTAAATTTCTATTTCATTAAGTGGAGGAACATGGACAGGTTGTATAATTAAATTATACAAATACAGAGCTTTTAAAGTTTGTCATTGCGTAATTCAGTCAATTACGCACCTGCCTCCACTCGGTCAGATGCATACACAAAACGGCCAGTCATGACGAACCCAATTGATTGCATTGCACAACACTGACAATGTATATATATTAGGGATCTGTTTATAAGTTGTTATTTCTTTAAATAATAGTTATAAGTATGTGCTGAATGAACTTAGATCTGATTAATTTACGTCTATTTAGTTTTTAAGATAATTACGCAACGTACTCTTAAAAATAATGAGTGTTTGTGTGTAGTTAAGCACAAAGCATTACAATGGGCTATTTATGCTGTGCCCACCACGGGAATCGAAACCCGGTTTCTAAATGGTATGAGTTCGCAGACTTGCTGCTGTGCCGGGGGATAAAGAGGCGTCTTGAAAAATGATTTTAGACTAATTATCAATGCCTAAAAGTCTCGGAAAATAGACTTAATTTGGTTGACCTATTGTACCAGGACTGAAGCCTAGAAATTCCAGTACACCGGTGTACAGCAATGCCACTTTTAAAACATAAATCGACTATTTTATCTTTGAGACAACACTAAATCGGAATAGCGCTTAAACCCAGACGAATCCCGTTATTGTTTTTTTTTGTTTGTTTTTTTTGTCTTAAGAATGTTATAGAGAGCAATTAATTGGCTTTTAAAGACCGAAAACAGTAAGACTGTTGTAAAACTTGTGAATTAAAGATACTATGGTAGAGGAATTAATATAATGCTAAACACTGTGGATTAGAGCTTTCAAACGAGCAAGTGACCAATGAAGCTAAGGTCATTGTAAGATAAACGAAGTTGAAGAACGGCTATGGTAAAAGAGACTGGTAATGGTGACTTCATGTCAGATAAATAACCTGAGTAATAGTAAAGGCTTACTAAATAAAGTTTATAATAAAGTCAGTTGATACTAATATGAACAAGTGAATGTTAGACCAGGTTTAACAAAAGGTGCAATAAAAGTGACACAGGTCAAGGTGAACGTACCTTGATTGGTACAGTGGACTAGTAACTGTATTAATGGGTAGACCATGCTTAACGAAGGTTACTCTAAACGTGACACAAGTAATGGTGAATGTGGGCTAGTAATTATACTAATGGTAAAAAGTTTTGTTTACAGTGCAACGTGATAGGGTGAACAATTTAAACAAGAAACTTCAAAGTGCGAGCTGAATCAAGAGTAGACACGGGGGGTGGGGTTCTGTGATCACGATCCCCATTGAATCAGACCGAAAACAAATAGACGAGTACAGAGACTATGATACTCTGTTTGCGAAGCTCTAAAATAAGTATTTATAATTCTGTAACATTGATAAAAATTTGGAACGATATATCCCTTATTATTGTTATTAATATATTTTTTAAAACAATAATAATATATTAATTAAATTAATTAACCTGTTATTAATAAATTACATGTATCATTACAATTAGTCCTATATATCGTTCTGTTCCAAGAGTTGGAACCCCCCCCCCCTTTGGCTGAATTGACTGAGTAAACTGATCAGTTGATTGTATACTTGAGATGCTGGGTTAATCAATTTCTGATCACAAGTACTGATACAAAGTTTGGAGAATAATAAGTGATACGTTGCGAGTATACAGTCGTTGCATGGTAACTTATGACGTGTAGTTTCAGTTCAGCTCTGAACTGTATTACGTCTACGAAAGGAACTGATATTCACATATATTAGGGCTTTATCTTATATTAGTAGCTTGAATTATCTGGCGTTGTGTATACTGTTTTATTATTATTATAGGTATAATTCTGTGTGGTGTTATCTTCAATATTTCTTACATTTTCATATAAACGCCCTTAAAAATAATATTCTTCTCATTTTATATTTATAACACGTATGTGTCTCATAGGACACAGAATTCAGAGAATAACGTCTACGTTCATTAAAGCATTAAACGAAGAGATCTAATGAGAATATAGTCGTATAAAAGCTTCCAAAGAAAAACATGCATTAAAACTGAGATATCTAAGTAACAATAGCTGGCGTTTTAGTTCAGACAAAAGTAAACAATAGTAAATGTACAAACTGTAGATGCAGGTGTACATGAACGAGCTCCTGCATTATGCGCATCACAGTGAAAAGACAGAAGTATTGTTTCAACCACACCTGCTCAAGTTTAGCACTAGTTTTAACTTTGCATTTGAAACTAAGTTGTAAATTGGCTGAAAAATATACTTTCTCTCATTCGTTTTATTAAAACAACATGACAGTTTATGAAACGTATCTTATAAGCTACAAGATTTTCTACTCGTGATGTTGGTTTATAAATTTACGTGGTAATGCACACAGACAGAAAAATTATATATATATATATAAAAACCGCACAGAAGATGCAAAAGTAAGTTTAAAAACGAAAAAATACTGATACAAAGTTTGGAGAATAATAATACAATGGTACTAAAATCTAGGAAAGACATAACGTTTCGGGCCTGAACCCTAAACATTTAGGTCCGAAACGTTGTATCAAATTAAGGTTTTCCTAGATTTTATTGCCTCTGAATCTAGTGTTGTTTTTTTCTTTCTCAATATTATAAGTTTAAGTGGCAATTTTTAAATATACGTAAAAATTATAAGTTTAAGTGACAATTTATAAATCTACGTGCACTAAAACTTATAATTTTTCGCGTAGATTTATAAATTGTCGCTTAAACTTATAATTTTTCACGTAGATTTATAAATTGTCACTTAAACCTATAATTTTTCTCGTAGATTTATAAATTGTCACTTAAACTTATAATTTTCACGTAGATTTATAAATTGTCACTTAAGCTTATAATTTTTAAAAATTATAAGTTTAAGTGACAATTTATAAATCTACGTGAAAAGAGAAACTATGTAATTTAAAACATCAACAAGTATATTTCTCAGCCAGATTGTTAATTTACAAATAGTAGTTACATTTATGAATTACGTGTGTAATATATAAATTACAAATACAAGTTAACTTAAATTGCAAAGTTACACTTGGTGGGCCTTATATTTAACACTCATGAAATATAACCCTCTGAAGACCAAAAAAATATATAACACAAAGAAAGTGTAAATACTTGGTAATCCTGAAATATGTCCCTCCCCCTCCCTAGTGGTTCAGTGATAAGGCTTATAAAGCTAAAATCCGGGTTTAGATACTCGTGGTGGGCAGACCACAGATAGCCCATTGTGTAGCTTTGTGCTTTAAAACAAACAAACAATCCTGAAATATGTCGTTGAAAAAAAAATTAAACTATTTCTGTCTAGAATACAAAAAAAAAAAGAATATGAACATTTCGAAAACACAGCTCTTGTTTTTTTATTATTATCATTCAAATTTACTCGTTTCGAGCTGAAGCTTTTCGTCAGATAGTCACAATGTTTTAACGTACACGATATTCGAAAAAAAAATAGACGATACAAACAGCGCATGTGATACGTGCACAGCAGCAGTCATAATTATCATTAATTATAATAAAATGTGATTTAAATACATTTTTTCCCGCACGTGCATAACATTCTTAAAAAAAAAAACCGTTGCTCTGAAATATCAAAGAAAAAAAAAAAGTTAACGTGTACTTACAACGTTTGCAGCTAAAAGTTTCAGCTCCCCCTGTCGTTTCAGGATTGTCATGCATATAAGCCAATTGCAATATAATAAGAAATGTTGTCGCGTAATCAGTCGAGCAACTGTAGTTAAGAGTGGAATAAAACAGGTTAACGACGGGATTCTCATAAAACAAATAAAACCACTTACTGTAGCAGTCAACGAACCAGCAAGACAGACTTTGTTTTATTCATATTTCACATATCCGTGCTTATTGTGTCCAATCAGCACTATATCCCTCAGCTGAAATGAGCGCACGAACATCGTGATTATATAATATTTTAATTGCAATTGATTTTCGCCG